ATGTGTATACCATTTCCTTAGAAGTGTTCCTTAGCAGTAAAGATGGTGAAATTTGATTTTATATATTTTGGACATGTTATTAGGAGAGGCCTGTCCATGGGAAAAGACTTCATGCTGAGAAATTTAGAGGGTCAGTGAAAAAGGAAAACTCTCCATGAGATGGATTGACACAGTTACTGTAACAATAACTTAAAGCAAGTGAGAGATTGTGATGATGGTACAGGAGAGATCACGTTTCCAGTCTGTTGCTCATAGGGTAGCTGTGAGTCATACTTATCAGCACCTGATAACAATCAATAGCAAAAACAATGTTCTTGAAAGTCATTTCCTTTTATCACTTTTTGGAGGTTGGAATTTTTTTGTGCATTTTTTGTATCTTAATGAGACTTTCATTTATAATTTGAGATATTTCACATGCCCTGCCCTTTGTGCTATAATTTTCATCCATAAAACTTTCCCCATTATTTGTAGTTTGAAATTTTGCTGAACTCAGCATTGGTTAGGAAAACACGAATTGTATTAAACAAGAAATGTCTATATCTAGCCCTGCAATAAGGCTGCTGAAGTTGTACCTTACAGAAGCTCTGTTCAGCTAACGCATGGTTTACATGGCTTATGTATATAGTGAAACTGGAGTTTCATGGTGCCTCAGTAATTTTGGTGATTACACAATTTAAAAAATTTAGAGGCTTTTAATTCTAAAGGATAGTGCTGTTCTTCAGTCTATAAGGTGTGGCAGTATGTGATAATCTTGAGGTTGTTGTTTATAGGTGCTGTAGAGTTGTGTAGTGACCCTTTGAACTACACATTTTAACCCTGTAACATCTTGTGAAATCATGTAAGCTGAAATTGTTGACAACATTGGTCTTTTCTCCGTCTTTTATGATGTTCAAAGACTGAAGGCCCTGGTAAGAAATAAGATCCCATAAATTGACGGTATACCAATTGACATGTTTCAGCTAACAGATGCAGCCCTGGACGTGCTCACCAGTCTATGCCAGTAAATTTGGAGAACAGCTTCCTGGCTGACTGACTGGAAAAGATCAATTTTGTTCCCATTTCCAAGAAAGGTGACCTATCAGAGTGGAACTATTATAGAACAGTATCATGGATATCACATACAAATAAAATATTGCTGAAGATCACACAAAAATGGCCATTACAGTACATTAACAGAGAACTGCCAGAAGTTCAAATGGATTTTAGAAGAAGCTATGGTACTTGGGATATCATTGTGGATATCAGATGGCTGAAAGCAGAGTATAGTAAAAAAAGATCTATCTGTAGTTTATTGACTATGTGGATCATAACCAATTATGGCTAGCATTGAGAAAAATGGGAATACTGGAACAGCAAATTGTGTTCATGAGAAATTTATACTAAAAAAGTTGTTGTCCAACAGAGCAAGGGAAAACTGTGTGATTTAAAGTAAGAAAGGGTGTGTGTCAGGGATGTATCCTTTTTCCATACCTATTCATTCAGTCTGTCATAGAGAGAGCTACGTTGACCTAGTGGATAGAAAGTTATGCTACCAAGCCTAAGGTGGGTGATATTAATCTGTGACCCTCAGGCCTGGTTAAAATTGTTTTTTCTGTCAAACATTCTTCTAGGTGGTATAGCACTGGTCTGTGCATTGCTGTTCAGCAATGATTGCAGTGATGCTGCACACTGTGACCCTCGTATGCCAAATGTGATAATGGTTACTCACGGCAGACAGTGTTTGCTGGAGCTTCCCTATTAAGACAAGCCTGGAAGCAGAAGTGGCATCTACTTCTAAAATGTCTTGCCTCCGGAAACTCTATGAACAGTGTTCAGGCCTTTCATTCATAGGGTCGCTATGAGTCATTTATGACTTAATGGCACCTGACAACAACAACAACTACTACAACATTCAGGCTGTATGTGGAGCAAATGATTCATGAAGCTGGACTACATGAAGAACAATATTGTATTAGGATTAGAAGAAGACTCATGAACAACTTGCACCTGACACAAGCTGCCTCCTGAAAGTGATAAAGACTTGAAACACTTGTGTCAGAAGATCAAGAACAATTCTAGTATGGATTATGCCTCAACATCAAGGAAACAAATGTTCGTCACCAAGGGCCAGCAATCAATATAATGATAGATGGAGAAAGTGATGTATCTGTCAATGACTTAATCTTGCTTTAATTAACAGTTAACACCCTTGGTATCAGCAGTCAGGAAATCAGGAGACATACTACATTGGGCAAATCCACTATCAGAGACTTCTCTAAAACACTTCAGAGCAATTATGTGAGTTTAAAGCCTAAGGTACATCCTAGTCAGATCCTAGTCAGACCATGGTCTTCTCTGCTTATGCATCTTGAGAGCTACACAATAAAGAAGGATGGCAGGAGAAGAATTGATGTCTCTGAGCTGTAGTGCTGGAAAAGAGTACTGAATATCCCACAGACTACCAAAAGATCAAACAGATATGTCTTGGTGAAATTGGTACCTGAGTGCTCCTTGGACGAAAAGATGAAATTTTATCTCTGATACTTTGTACATGTCAATAGGTAACTCTATTTCTTTTTTTTTTCTTTTTTTTTTCTATACATAAGAGAGGAAGACCCTGGATGAGATGGATTGACACGGTGACTGTAACCATGGCTTTAACGTTTCAGAAGCTATGAGGATGGCATAGGATAAGAGAGATTTCAGATCTTTTTTCAGCATAAGTCATACTTGTCTTAACTGTACCCAACAGCATAATTACAATTATTCA